CAACTGCTCTGCTGGAAGCGTATAAATGCATGTCGTTGCCAAGTTGTTGCTAACGAATTATAGGGTAATACGCCCGCGCGCGATCCAAAAGCGGGGAACACATAGGTTTGTCGCATCAAAGGGATCTGTTGCCGAGTGATCTCCTTCTCAATAATACCTCCATGATCGAACGACCGCATTGTGCGAGATACGAAGTACAAAAAATAATCTCATTAGAGAGGGCGCACTTTATTGACTGTATAAAAGTATACATAAAAGTGAGAGTATTCCAGTGGATGCGATCTACAACCTCTGAATTTGCCTAGTAACGATGAATTCGTCGAGAAAATGGTAATATTTTATGAGAAATAGTCTGTATTTCTCATTTTTTTTATTCTTTTGCGTAAACTAAAATTCATGCCAATATTTTTCCATGATTTGTAATAATTGGAGTAATGCAAATGAATATTTTCTAAAAAAGTCAGTTTTTAGTGAAATTTTGCCGGGAATGGGGCTATAAAGCTGGGGCTAGACGTTTTGTAGGCGGCCACTGGTGCAGTAGTAGGACTAGCCTAGGCTAGGCCTAGGTTAGGAGGTCTACTAGGGCCAGGCCTAGCCAGACCATAGAACACATAAGCGTAAGCGTGATTTAAAAAAATCTTAAATCCATAAATCTCAGACCAGGTCTTTTAAGATAGAAATGCGATACTCTTCAGTCCAATTTTGTTTTTATCCTTTTGCAAGTTTCTTTAAATGTTTGTTTAATAATACTACTACTAATAGTAATAATAATAATAATAATAATAACAATGATGATGATGACGATAGTAATAATTGATATTAATAATAATAACAAATAAAAAGTGAAGAAAATTGTGCTAAATGCGAAAAAAAGTTGTGATTTGTTGATCATAATATAGTATATATAGTTAAAGCTTAGTAAGCTATAAGTTGTCCTTAGTAAGCCTAAGTTGTCCTGGATATTAAGTAGATCCCTGATAAAAGATCATGAGAAATTTGTTGGCGTTTCATTTTGACTATAATGGTAATGTGATGATTTTTACTATATAAAAGTGTCATTTCCGGGCCATTTCGAGAGGTACTATTTCCTCAAATTTTCTCACCTCAGCCCCAGCCATGGTGGACCTGAGGTGGTTGTGAAATCACGTTTTGGAAGTAGGCCTATGTAAAGTAGATACCCAAAGACAATGTTTTTAAGCTTTGTTTTCTATGGTGTATACACACACATTAATAAGATCTCTATGGTTGTAAAATCCCTGATAAAAGATCATGAGCATTTCTTTTGGCGCATCATTTTGACTAATGGTGATGTGATGATGATGAATTTTACTAAAAGTGTCATTTCTGGCCTTCTAGAGGTACTATTACCTCAAATTTTCTTACCTCAGCTCCAACCATTGTGGGGCTGGGGTGGGTTTCGACTTACAAAATGCCCTCCCCCTCCACCTTTCAAAACAGATCTGTGCCCTTTCCTGGGTATGACATTAAACTCCATCGAGTCGGCTCCTGATGTATGTCTTAGTGACTGCTGTTTGTTTTTAGGATGTGATCTGGTTTTTCATGTACA